GGTCTGACTGAGACTGGAGGTGCCCAGGAAAGCATGGCCCCTGGACTCTCTATCAGCCCAGAACTAAAACAATTTCCGAGGCCAACTCTTCAGACAGGGATTAGACTGGACTACGGGACATAAAGTGATACTTGTGAAGAATATGCCTCTTAGTCAAGTAGATACAAGAGACCAAAGCGGCAGCTTCTGTCCAGAGGTGAGATGGGATGGCAGAGAGAGTTAGGAGCTGGCTGAATGTTCATGGGGAATCAGGGGTGGAGGGCAGGAGTGTGCTGTCACAGAATCCGGTGAGCAGTTGGGGTCTCTTAACAACGTGTGTAAAAAAAAAAAAAAAAAAGAAAAATTCTGTATGGGAGACTAACTTGAAATGTAAACTTCATTTAACTACAACAATTTAAAAAAAAAAAGAGCTCAGCTGCTAACCAAAAGGTCAGCAGTTTGAATCCACCAGCAGCCCCTTGGAAACCCTTTGGGGCAGTTCTACTCTGTCTTATGAAGTCACTATGAGTCAGAATCAACTCGACAGCAACGGGTTTGATTTGGTTTGTATAGGAACCCTGGTGGTGCAGTGGCTAAGCACTCGGCTGCTAACAGAAAGATTGGTGGTTTAAACCTACCAGCTACTCTCCAGGAGAAAGATGTGGCAGTCTGCTCCCATAAAAATTTATAGCCTAGGAAACCCTACGGAGCAGTTCTACTCTGTCCTACAGGGTTGCTATGAGTCGGAATCTACTCGACGGCAATGAGTATATGCGCTATGACCTTTCCAGATCTAGTATTTATCATGAGACTTAAAACAGTGATACGGAAAGAACGTTCATCATAACAACTGTGCCAGATTCACTATTTTAAGTTCCTGGTTGGAACTTCTCAGAAGGATCATTTGTGCTGCATATCATTGTGTTCAGCTTACCCATTCTAAGGGTTCCACTGTCCCAAAGCCGTACCATTACAGAAAACATTACATTTCTTTAGATCTTAAATCAAACTTTTCCCAGAAAAGGGATGGTAGTAAAAAAAGATGAGGTGGGCAGATGGTAAGAAAGAATTATGGAAATCAGCTGGCACAGACAGACGCTCCCAAAGGTTACAAATATTTATTACGCTCCCCCAGACACATGGCACTGTGCTAGGTGCCATGCCGAAATAAATCCAAAATGACAAGAGTCCCTTCCCACTGTTCAAGAAAGCGGCAAGTGAACTCTGCTTATCATACAATAGAAGGAAGGGGAAAGAGACAGATGAAGCTGTTGTTTTTCTGTTTAAGTATTTGTTTTGCTTGATTCTTAAGCACAGGCAAGGAAAGAAGGCGGCAGTTTACTGTTTATTGCCTTTCTTCTCTCATCACAATATAAAACATTATTTGTTCTGTTCATTGATGCAGCTAATTGCCTAGAAAAGGCCAGGTACACTGTGGGTGATACAATATTTGCTAAATGCTAAATAAAGAGGAAAAGATAAGAAAAAAAATAAATACAGTGAGGAAATAAAGCACCAAACTCTCCCAGGCCAAAAGACTGGCGAGAGCTATTATTCTTGACCTGTTACTTAATAAAAGTCTCCAGTTCTCCATCTACTTAGATCATATACTATCGGGATGGCTAATGGCAAAGAGTCAAAGCTAGATTTACTTTAATGAGCAGCAAGGACCACTACCACTGACCCTGCCAGCTAACAAACAGAGATCTGAATATGGCAAGTTCGCAGTAAAGCAACAGGTAGGTGCTGGATTAAGAGAAACTAGATCAATGAACCAACATCCTTCCTACCTTCCTACTTCACTTCCTTCCTAAATTTCTTCCACATTATTTATTGAGTACCTTCTATGTTTATGAACTGGTCTTACAAAAATAAATGAGATATGGTCTTCATCACCAAGAACATATCAGTTATGCTAACATAATTCTTTAAAAATTACTGAGGATTTTACTCCCACTAGGATGGCCAAGATGAAAGAAAGAAAAGGAAAGAAAGAGAGAGAGAGAAAGCAAGCAAGCAAGCTAGCTAGCTAGCTAGAGGTAGAGCTGCCATATGACCTAGCAATTCCACTCCTAGGTATATATCCTAGGGATCTAATAGAAGTGACACAAATAGACATAGGCACACTTACGTTCCTCGCAGCACTATTATTAGATGGAAACCTAAGTGCACATCACGAATGAATGGAAAAATAAAATGTGGTACATACATAACAATGGAATACTATTCAGCAATAAAAAAAAATGAGTTCCCAAAACATTTTGGAACATGGATGAACCTGGAGGACATTATACTGAGTGAAATAAGTCAATCACAAAAACACAAATATTGTATGTTCTTACTTTTATGAAAGGACATGAACAAGTAAGTATACAGAAACTAATGTTCATTAGTGGTTACCAGGGATGGGGGTGGAGAGGAGGATTCACTCTCTAGATAGCAGACACTTGTTATTTTTGGTGATGGGAAAGGTAATACCGAACAAGGGTGAAGTGTACACAGCTTCTTGAAGGTAAACAATGTTACTAAAAAGTACACAAGAAAAAAGGACCTGCTGGTAATTGTTATGGCATATATAATTTGGAAACAGCAACAACAACCAAAAAATATATGTACGGGTATTTATATATACGTATGTATGTAAGCATACGTGCATAAAAAAATTAAAAACCCATTGCCGTAGAGTCAATTCTGACTCACAGTGACCCTATATATGTGTATAGGTATGTATATATAGGTGTATACATATATGTATCTATATGCATTTATGTGACTACACAAATATTCACATAAATAATAAAGCACATTGGGGGCACAGTTACAGATACTTCTTAGACATAACCAAATACCTTGTGGGATTGGATTTCTGGGTTTGAAGCATTAAGACCATGGTCTCATGGGACATCTAGGTCAACTGGCATAGTATGGTTCATAAAGTTATGTTTGGTGAGTACTGTCTGGAGTCTTAAAAGCTTGCGAGAGGACATCTAAGATACAACTATGGGTCCTATGGGGCTCTACTTGTCCGGAGCAAAAGAGGAAGAAGGAAACCAAAGACTCAAAGAAGAAACTAGTTTACAGGACAAATAGTCTACACAAACCACAGTCTCATCTATCCTGAGACCAGAACTACTAGATGGTGCCCTGCTACCACCAACAGCTCTGATCAGGGCCACAATAGATGGACCCTGACAGAATGGGAGAAAAATGTAGAAGAGAACCTCAAATTCCTTAAAAAAAAAAACAAAAACAAAAACAGACCTACTGGACTGGATGAGACTGGAGGACTTTCTAAGACTATTGCCCTGAGATACTCTTCAAACCTTGAAAGAAACTACCTCCTGAGGTCATCCTGTAGCTAAATAACAAATTGGCTCAAAAAATAATGAATATCACCCTAAGTACTGTGCTCCTTTAAAAAAATCACCTATGAGACCAAACAGTCAACAATTACTTTAAAACAAAGATGAGAATATAAGGGCACAGGGAAATGAGGTTAATGGGAATGGAATAATCAGAATGGAAATAATGAGAATATTCACACATTGTGAAGAATGTAACCAATGTCACTGAACAACTTATGTAGAAAATGTTGAGTGGGAACCTAAACTGCTGTGTAAACCTTCACTGAAAACATAGTATTATTTTAGAAAAAGTACTGAGGTATGGTATACATATACTATTC